CTTTGCCGCGATCTCTGGATGAACTACGTGGCCTCACTTGGGATTTGAACTGGGGGCCAAACTCTCCGGATACATCGTCTGGGTGCTAATTGCTATAACCACCCTCACCTTTCCGTTACTTGTAATCTACTGCTTTTCGCATAAACTTTCAGTACTCGTAAAGATGATGGCTCGAAGAATTACACGTAAATTTCGACTTATATCCGCCCTCTATGAAAACTTTTTGATGAACTCCTGTTTAAAGCAGTTAAACAAATAGGCTAAAAGGGGATTACCTCCGTAACTTCACTATAGGGTTGAGTAACATGATACTAACTAATTGAAATGTCAGTATTACTTCCTTCTCCCTGCCTGTAATTCCACTTCAGGACAATCATGGCTTCACAGCTTTACACCTAGCGGCTATGGTCGGCAACGAGAATATTTGTAAAGTTTTGGTCAGGCAGGGCTGGAATCTTTCGGTGAGTCCCTTCAGTCAATAGTGGTTCCAACTTGATCCTAAATAAGCGCTATTGTAGCGATTACAGTATCATTTGTACATACTACTTCTGTACTTGGTGGAGATAGAGCCGCATTATTTATATCTTCAAGCTCTTTTGCTCCTAGGATGGCCGTTTAGAAAGAGATCAGAATGTTTCGCCTATAAATAAGTTAAACTGAAGCAGTGCAGTACCCAAAAGGTCAGAAAATTGAAGGCGATAGCGAGGAAAGCGAGCGACACAGTCTGCAGCGCGACAAAAATCTAGCTGAGTATAAAAGCCCCCACCTGCAGTGTACCACCCGATTGGAAAGGCTTTTTATATGGTTTTGAAACTATAGATACCATTTTTGAAATTTCAGGAAAGAGATAAGCTTGACAACACTCCTCTACATTTGGCAGCTGGACGTGGTCACACTGATGTGGTACGATTTCTGGTAACAGCTGGTGCAAATATGAATGAAAAGGATGCGATGGATAGGTCGGAGTGTATAAAAGGCATGTTGACGAATGTGTTTGATTAAAAGACCTTCCAGGACGCCCGTTTACTGGGCATGCTTCGGTGGCCAAGCACATACGTTGTACTGCATGATAAAGGAGCTTGGGTTTGAGTGGAGAACGGTCGACAAGTGAGTTCAATTGCTTTATATGGTTCTTCACTGCAAAGTCAGACGATGAAATAGGAAAGAGGGTTATTTTCCCTGCCCTAAATTGTATATATTATTTTATTCATGATAAAAAGATGCAATAAATATTCGGAAGCAGAAAAAACCGTCGAACCAATTTTGAAGCTATCCTCAGAGTGATGTACGAGTTGT